GAGGAGAGGTTGAGGGAACTGGGCTTGTTCAGCCTGAAGAAGAGAAGGCTGCGAGGGGACCTAATAAATGCTTATAAATATCTGCAGGGTGGGTGTCAGGAGGATGGGGCCAAGCTCTTTTCAGTGGTGCCCAGTGACAGGACAAGGGGCAACGGGCACAAAATGAAGCACAGGAAGTTCCAGCTGAACATGAGGAAGAACTTCTTCCCTCTGAGGGTGATGGAGCCCTGGCCCAGGCTGCCCAGGGAGGCTGTGGAGTCTCCTTCTCTGGAGATATTCAAGACCCGCCTGGACAAGGTCCTGTGCAGCCTGCTGTGGGTGACCCTGCTTCGGCAGGAGGGTTGGACTAGATGACCCACAGAGGTCCCTTCCAACCCCTACTATTCTGTGATTCTGTGATTCTGTGAAATCTTTATGAGATTTTTCAGCCCATCTTGTCTGGATTGCCTAACTCCAGGCCTCAGTAGTGAGGACAAGACATCCTGCAGCAAAATACACTGCTGCAGTTTGTGTACAGAAAAGAAACAGGACACAACCAGCTCAAGGCAAACAATCTAAGGAGCCCTATTCATGTGCAGGAAGAGAAGGAACCTTACTCACGCAACCACTTAACACAAGGAAGAGGAAAAAGATATGTCATGGAGAGACACAGGGCATTCTTCAGAGGTGCTCTGACAGTATGGGATTGCTAATTCCACATTAGAGTGATCTGAAACTGCATCAAAACAGGGTTCCTGTGATTTGTAACTGCCCATAAGCACAAATCCTTTGAATGAAAGGTAGGCTAACAGAAACATATTTCAAACCTACAGTCCAGCCTCAGAGAGTGCAAAAGGGTGCTGGAAGTTTCTTGGGATAGCTCAGTGCAAGACCAGAGCTTAGGGAACACAGGTATTATAGAGATCATGTGCAGAGACTATCCAGAGAGAACAACCTTAGTCTACTTACAGGGAAACGACTTGCAAGTCAAGAGCGGTAGCTGATGCCCAGTCATATGCTCTGAGGAACATGCCACACCTGTCCCAGCTAAGGAGGCCACGCTGAAGGCTCAAGATGGATACTGGCTGTATGAAAACACCTTCGCTTTACTCTGGAAAGTTTAAGGGCTTATTTGAAATTTAGCTAGGAAATTCAGAAGCCAGCAAAAATATTTTAGTGGAGGAGCCAAGAGCTGTTGCTGCAAGTTCCACAGTAAGAAAGGGAAAAGAACAAACTTATTCCCGGCTCTTCAGATAAGCCTCTTCCCAAGCAGCCCTAGAGAGTGGCCACAACTCTCAACAACTGCTACTGCACGGACCACAGCCCACCCTTTCCTTTGTGTCAATGGTATAAATCCATTCTTAAAAACAAAGACCTGCACTTCCTCTCTTAACAAGGCAGCAGGTGGGAAGAACACCAAGAGGAAAAAAAGGCTTCCAGACATCAATGGAGAGGAATAAAAAAATAAATAAGAAATCTAAGCGCTTACTAACAGCTTTGCTGAAATCAAACCTTCCAGCTAAGCCATGCCATGTACTGTATGACAAAGACCAATTCAACCCTAAAACCTGGCCTCAGGAACCTCTGTAAGAGAAAACTCTCCTCTGCTGGACAAAATTCAAGCGCCTCCCATGACTCCGCTGTCTTTACTGCAAGCACAGCCAGAGAATACATCTGTCCGCCATCTATTTGGGCTGCAAAGACTCCATGAACATCTAAGAGTTCCAGTGACTCAGAGAGCCCTACATCAAGACCGTGGCTGGTGCCCTGGGCACAAAACCTCATTCTAAACCTAACTGTAGTAGGGCTCAGCAGCCAGCAGTTTGCAGAGCAGTGCCCTGGAACAATCCACTTCCACAAAGTCAAAGAGGTTGCTTTAACAGATTTAGTGCTTTGACACATGTAAGGAAAGGGCAGAACTTCTTCAGGCTTAGTGAGGAAAATCATCAGCATAGCGTTCCTGAATTCAGAAAATAACAATAACATCTGATTTTCTTCTGCCACAACTCTCATCTAGATAGCTCCTTATGGCAGACAACAGGTTAACTGGAGCGCTCAGAGGCTGTGTAGAAGCTTTTCTGTGATATGCTCCCCATGGTACTTGGCCCAGTCTCTTGGCTGAGAGAATGCTCTGTGCTTTATCAAGCCAATCAGCTCTGCAGCCCCTGGAGGCACAATGTTGGCTTCCCACTGAGGGTTATCTGTATGCAAAACTCAAGAAGGCAGGTGCCTGCTGGAACAATACAGGTGCTGGCCAGGATGGTACCTGCTAAAGCAGTGAACTGGCTGCAACTGGCTTCTAAGTGCTGATTTTACCCTTACAGATATTCAGCAGTGGCAGACATTATCCCAAGCATTTTTAGAGCCCAGACAGCCTCACTTATCACCCTGCAGTAGATTCTGCCCATTAGTCACCAGCACTAAGTATCCCTCCTGTATGCAGCTTGAAGTGACACCAGCTCCTCTCACGACACAGAGATAATTCAGCCAAGACCAGAGACAGGGCATCAGTTCTATTTGCCTCCAGAAAGCAACACTTCACCTTGCTCTGAGGACGTGGGGTTCCCTTGTCTCTAACCCTAGCTGGAAAGGTGGCCCAGGCTCTCACTGTTGGATCAACACAAGGACAAAGTGCCTACAAATGCCAAGAAATGCAGGAGTGTCAGGGTAGTGACAAAGTGGAGTGCCACAAAGAGACTTCGAAGAGTCTCTTACAGGGAGATAACAGCAACAACTAAGAGGGAAACGAAATGCTCTGCAAATGTATTAAATATTTATAATCCCAAACAGTAAACAGAATTGAACTGTTTTAAACTCCTGATTTACTGAGCTGCTCTCAAACATCAGCTGCTGTGAAAAACATCACAGCAGGGATGCTTCCCCATGAAAGAAGGAAAGAAATTAGGAACAAATGAAGCCAAAGTGGAAAAATATGGGCAACTGGGAGCACTCAGAGAGGTGTACTTCCAAAGAGTTGGGTTTTTTAATACTGCTTTTGAGAAAAGCCATCTTCCAGAGCAGCTATTTGATAACTGGAAACTTCTGTATCTCCCCTCAGCTTTGACTGCGACCCCCTTCTCACACAAATAAGGCAACAGTTGCAGGAACAAGGGAGGAAGAGGAAAAGGGAGACATACAGGAGGGCAGGGAAAAGACGCTGCAGTTCTCTGCACGGGACACTGCGGAGCTAGATGGTTCTTTTTTCCAACCCTTAAAAAAGCCCAAACCAAAACAAAATAGCAGAACAGACAGTGTCAGGACAACATCTGATGAAAGGGGATAACCTGGGCACAGGAAGAGAAAAAACCTGGATCAAGAGTGGTCAAACCAAGTGCCTGACACCAGTCAACAGCTCTGGGCTCAGGCAGGTCCTCTAATTCTCTGGCTAGCAAGATGTTTTCCAGCTCCCCAGGCTTGATATGCATGTGAGAAGCCAAACGGCAAGTCTTGGGCCTTGTGGGGTCCAAGCAGAATGCGAGCGCGTGTGCAGGCTTGGAAGAGGGAGGTAGCCACACCAGCAGTGGGGCAGGGTGGGCAGGGGCATCAAATGGTCTGATAGTGTTGTCTCAGTCTTGCCTGCAGAAATTCGTGGGTCAGGTTGTGCCGAGTGATTATCCCAACAATCTTAAAGAGGAAGAAAAGAGGAAAAAAGATACAAGTCAGTATCACAGATGTGCCACTAAGAGACGTGCATGGTAGAGCTGTTGTTCTTTCCAACCCCCTAACAAGAAGGAATCTGCAAGCAGTTCTTGACCACTGCTGAATTAGAGTGTGTTCAAGTTCAAATCTCACCAAAACAATGCCCCTCCCTCTCCCAGCACTTATCTACAGGCAAGACACAGCTTTGACTATACCCAAACAGACACCTTAACTGCTGCTATCGTGTCCGGACACAGCAGTAGTTACCCCTGCCTAGGAAGTGAAATGCTGTCCATGTTAGACAGCATATGGATGTAACTAAACCCTTTGGAAAGTGAAAACTGTAACTGGAAATAACAAAGCTGTCTCTTATGGCTTCATTAGAGATATTGCTGGTATGCCACGACATGACTGCAGACAGCTCATATCAGATACATTCTAGAAAGTTCTAAAGACCAAAACAGAGAAATGGTAAAGACCAGCAAAGTGGCAACTGCACATTGGCCATCACTAGCTGGCAGGTTACAAAAGGGAACCTCTCCCAGCCTGCTGGGGAAACAGTCAAACCACACATTTCAGCTGATGAAACACTTCAGTCATTTTACACATTGAAAGAATTTAGAACTAGGCTGCTCTCTAGTACTACAAGAGCATCTTGTACTAAACATGGGATGAATCAACATCTCTCTTTTTCAACCAACAGGCTCTGCAGACTAGCTATTAGGAACCCCAAGAGGCAGGAAAAGCACTGCTGTCTCATAGGGACAGACCAGTTCAGGCTTAAGGGAAACAGTTTCTCGTTATGTTTATAGGAAGTTACTGACACCTACTGATTATTCCTGAGCATTGTAGACGGCAATGAGACATGTACAGTGAATCAAGCACCAACAGTTCAAGGACTCCTTTATTTTGATGCTCCTACATGTAGGAACAGAACTGAAGTTCCCTTCCAGCAGAAAACACTCCTGCCCCAACACAAGGAAATTCTGCTCTTGGCCTTGAATAAAGCTGTCAAAGCAGAAGCCAAATTAGTGGCCTCTGATGAGCTCAAGGTCTCTCAACAGGTACAAGACAGTAACAGCTTCTATACACTGCCAATCTGAGACAGGAAAGAGATTGCATGTCCTGCCCTTTGCAGGGAAAGTGGGAAGCAGGCTTGGACACAAAAGATGGTAACAAAGTCACAGTAATCAACAACACTTCAGAGCCTTAAAATATCACATTCTGATCTCTTTAAAGCATTTCTGTTTGATGTCAAAAGACATCTTAATTCTCCCAAAGGTGCAAAGCGTTGCAAAAAACACAGTGGCTTCCTTGCTCAGCCAAGACAAAATGGAGATAAGGACTCACCTCTCCAACTGCGTTCACAACTGGTAAATGTCTGAGTCCCATTGTCCTGAACAGGTTGAAGACTTGCGACACGTGAGTATTTGGCGAGACAGCAAAGGGTGATGGGTTCATGTATGGGGTGACATCCTAAGAAAGAAAAACAATTATGTTATTTACAGGAGGCATTTTCATGGTCTATGGGAATAGCTAACAAGCAATTCCTACAACTCCTCACTGATCTCTGGACAGGGTATTGGACTATGGGCAGCTCCTATTTCTCCACAAATACGAAATTATTTCATGAACCTGAATTTGTCACAGTTTGTTTGAACACCGTAACCCATGGTCTTAAAAGTCCAATGCTGCAGAAAACCTTTGAGCTGGATAAATGCAGGTCCATGAAAATAAGAACGTATGTTAAAAAAGCACTTTGGCCTACACAGCAACCTTCCTGTCACAAAGACAATGACAGGCCTGCCACTGACTGAGCTGCCAGCACACAGAGCTCCAAACAGGTATCAGCAGTCTGCCTGTCGAGTCTCACTCAGTCAGGAGTCTAATGTAGAAGGAAGTTAAATGACACAGGCAACATCTTATTCTGAAGGTAAAGCACCTGTGTGTGATGTTACCTCGCCGCAGGTACAAGGATTGATTTCCACATGCAAGACAAGGCTGACTGAATGCATAAGTACAGAATGTTGGACACTACACTCAAAGGTAGACTTAAACATGCTCTCAGCTTTTTTTAAAAGCTTGGACAGTCCTAAACCTGTATAATGAAAAACTGTCACAGTGCAGTGCATCTCTTACCACTATCATGCGAGGGTTCAGCAACGTAAGGTCCAGGTCATGGATGTCTGGATAGCGGGGGTAATCCTCTGACATCTCTGCATGGGACAGACGAGGCTGACTTGCACTCTGCAATTAAAGCAAATCCCTCTGAACCGATGTGTCACCATCCCAGATAGTACATGGGTTGCAAGCAGCCCAGCAAACCATGCCTCCTAATCGCTTACCCAGATCTCCTCCCCCTCCCATGCCCACACATACAACTTCTGCAGAGGTACTCCTAGCAGCGCATCTCAGAATGCAGCAGTGCAAGCCCAAACCTACACAGGCGTTTAGCTCAGAGAGCAATGGATCTGCTCTCCAGCCTCTGACAGATCCACACTCAACACTGGAGGACAGCAACAAATCAGCCGTGTGGAAGGTGGGCCTCAAACACAACTGCTCATACTGATCTCAGTGATACAGCTGACACTCTCCTGGTAAGGCCCTGGCACGCAGAAATAAAACCACACAGTATACACTGTTGGTTGCCCTGTTTGTATTTAACATCTGCCCTCCATTCTTCAGTTCTGACAGGACTGCACCTTTATTCAACAAATGGGTCTGTTGGTTTATTTTTTAAACAGCAGCTGTCCTCTTTTCCTGGGGGTGCTTAAACAGAAATTGAAGTATCTTTATTCTAGAGCTGCAAGGAAGCTCCGCACTATCCATCTGCAGCTTTTAAAACACAGATGCACTGCCTAAAGTGTAAAAATAGGTAAATTCTTTTTGGCACCCATAAATATTGTTCCCAACCTTCTCAGCTGAGAGGGTAGGGATGTCTCTGCCACAATTCCTGATTAGCAAGACTCACCGACTGGCTCTCGGAGTAACAAACACCCCTGACAAGGAGTGTGACAAGCTGTGAGCGCAAGATCAAGCCATGGAAGGTCAAAGGTCTGAAGCGTTCCTCCATGGTCCACTCTTCACTGGGAGACTGGTCAGGGTACAGGTTGGGGTAGGGAGTGTATCTGTGACAGATTTAACATGTTGTAAGTTGCATGAACTTAAGAGGAGACACGCCCTGCCTCCAAAACAACAACAGCTATTTCAGTTCTTTGCAACCTTCTCCTGAACTTTTCACAGACTCTTGCTAGGGACAAGCAAGTCTTTTCTCCACTAAACAAAATAGCAGAAAGGGCTCAAGAGCCATTACCACGGGTAGAGTATGACAACAGCAGCAGAATGGAGACAGTCTCCGAACCCTCAATTTTAAATCACTTGCGACTACAGCAATTTTCAGTGCCAAATTATTCAGATTCTAACAGAAGCTAAAGCATCTGGCAAAACACAAGAGTCGCAATCACTAGTTAGAAACTGATTCACTAGAGTAGGCTTCCACTTGGAAGCAATTGCAATATAAGCCTGGTGACTCAGCCCAGTTAACAGAACAGTGGTATCAGTATTATGGCACCAAGTCATTTGCACCTCTCTTGGGAGAAATGAACTTTGCAGAGCCCTCAGGTTGTTACAGACAAGAGGGCATCGATTTCTACAGACAAGATATTTCCCCAGGTATTCCATCCTCTCCATGAAATATTTCTGCATAGGTGTTTGAAGGAAATGGAAGTTAACAGGTTGGACACCATCAAGCCTAGGACTCAGTCACAGGCATGAGCCCCAGGACTGGTTGATGAGACCCGAGAAGTCACTTCTCCCAAAACGTGGACACTAGCACTGTTTCCTCTGACATATGAAATGACAGGGACTGTACGAAGCATCACAACACATCTCAACATAGGGAAACACCCTGTTTCCATATGTTCATGCCTACCAGGATCTCACCTTCTCTCTAGCATCTGTTGCAACAGATCCTCCTTTTCTGGTGGCTCCTCCGTTGCTATGTGCTCATCACACATGTTTCGCAATTCACTGGAAGGGTAGGATTTCATGGACTGACTACGCTTGCGCTGCTCTCCGGCTCGGGTGAGGATGCTAGATTTCTGGACACAAAATACAATTTTCACATACTCCCCTAAGCAGGTCAACAGTTATCCATGAGCAACTATGAACTATTTGATCATAGCTTTGTGTCACCAGACATGGTGTTCCTTAGTTAGTGCTGCTGCAATACTTGTAAGAATAGCCAGCTGGACTGTACTCTCCTTGGACAGAGAACCCAGAGTTTAGGCACTGAGGCATCCTTTTTTGCTAGAGCACGAGTACGCCACAAGCACGCTCATTATTCATTCTGAACTTAAATTTTAAGTTTCCCAAGAGACTAAAGCATCTGCCCCCACTACCCCTCCTAGAAAGGAGAGAAGCATTTAGGCAGCTAGTACTGATCTCAATGGTGGGTTCAGTACTTCAGTACCAAATCCAAACTTTTTCCATGTCTATCCTAAACAGATTAATCAGTCCTCTTAACTTTTACCTCTAGGAATGCATCCCACTCTTCTGCCTTTACCATGACCCAGATAATGGAATGAGATTGAGTCCTTCAAAATTCTGTATTGCAGTAGATGCTTAGGTCTGACCTGAATTCTGCACCGACAAAAGGCCAGATAACAAATGAAAGGGCTTTCCACTTGTAAAACAAAGCTCTTTACCCATCAACGTATCAAAGAAGCAACTTATTACCTTGAATTTGATGTTGTTACTTATCAGCTGATTTCCCTTCATGAACTCCCTCTCGTTGCCCCGGTTCTCAGTCACTACAGGGAAGGCGTGATGGACAGTTGTGCGCAGGATGCTAACAAGGGACTGGATCCTGGTGTGCGGGTAGACATAGGTCAAGTTGGGTTCCATGATGTCGCTGGCTCGCAGTCTGAGGAAAGAGAAATCTAAGATTGCTGCATGCATCATATGTCCATGACAGAAGGCTGGCAATGGACAAACCAGGAAACAAACCAGTCCCAAAACGCGATGCCAAAGGAGTCTTGCTCCAGTTTAGTTCTGCCAGCTCCTTGTACCTCTATGCTCACTTTCACTACATTATTAGCCATGCTGACACAATTGACTTTTTAATTTTTTGTTTCTATTTAACATAACATTGCATCAATGATGCACTACAGGCAAGGAAAAAAGTTCCAACTTATAGGAAGTGTTTAAACACTACTGGGAAAAGACAACAGGCGGAAAGAAGATGAAATTCTGCAAGAAGTCCAGTGGAACATTGTCACAGAGTTCTTGCAGAACGTCACAAGTCCGCCTCTTAGATCTCCACCTGTCCACCCCTCCTCAGAAAGGGCTCCAGCACCTTTCTTGCTGCAGGCCTGACACACAATTCCCAACCCCTCTCTCAGCAGTTCTCCTCACAGCTGCTTCTCTCAGAGCAGTCAGATTCATTGGAGATGAAGCAACTTCCTCCCACAATACAGCACTCGGTTCTGGGTAAGAACCCCACCACAAACTCTAACCCCCAGCCCTGCCAAGAGGAGCAGCCTTACTTATCCATTTCCACCTCTGTTTCCCACTCCAGAAGAGGCACTCCTCGCAAGTTCACATGGATGTCATAGATGCCTTTGTTGAAAAAGTCTCCTGTCCATTTGGCTACCTGCAGAACAAACAGAAGGCCTACTGGGTTACTGCCCCAAGTACAAGATTCCTTGGCTTATCACAGCCCTGGAAGGAACAGAGACTCAGGGCCAGCACATTTTCAAGCAGCCTGCAAGAAGCCAGAGCTAAGACCCTGCACTCACCATGAGGGTGATCATTATTGGGAGCCCATAGGTGATCTCGTTGGTGGATTCGATTAGGATGACAGTCAGGCTAATTGTCATGCGGACCACTCCCCCCAGGAATGCTGCTGCCCCAATGAGTGCAAAGGTTCCCGAGTAGATGTGATCCAGGCCAATGTAGCTAGGGCAAAACACAGAGCCCAGAGATTAGAATAACCTGACTGCGAGCTCAGCGTATGTCTGCAGCACACCTCTCGCACACATACGCACACTCTATGCACCTTTTGAGGAGGTTGGCGACCAGGCGTCCAAAGGCAGCCCCACAAAGCAGTGATGGCACAAAAAGACCACTGGGCACAGAGATCCCGTATGTCCAGCAGGAGAGTAAGAAATAGAGAAGGAAGAACAAGGACAGTGTGACTGGGCTGAAAGTACCTGCAACACAAGAAGAATCATGACTAAAGGGGCACAGGTCTGCCAGACAAAGACAGTAGTCTTGTACCATTCACCCTTCAGCTCACAGCAGGCTCATCTCACAACAGCTACTTAGTCTCCCAGTCCAAACACACACGAAGACAATGAGTAAGTGAAAAAGAGAGGAAAAGCAGGCCTTTCTTCCCATGAAGGAGGTTTCAACTGTTGTACTAGCAGTCCCCCAGAGCCACGAAGGCCTGAAGATGCTCTTATACCCTTGTGGTTCTTATGGCAAGGCTGTTTCAAGCAAGATGATGCTCTGAAGCCTAAGCATGGGATGGGCACTGCCTCTTAGCTGCTCACCATCCTGGTGGAAGAGCTGCAAGATAGCCGACTCCTGAGGGTTGAAGAAGAGTGTGGCCATGTCATTGTAGGATTCATTCGGGCAGAAAAAAGTTTTGATGCTTGAATTCACATCTTCTGACATACCCTAATGCAGGACACAAAAGACATGGACAGTTAAAATCCACTCTCTCCTGCATTAGACTTCGTGCAGAATGAGTGTAACTCTTCTGTATAGCGCTGTCAGCCCACACTTTGGGAAGTTCAGACCAAATATCAATAGCAGAGATGGGGCCTGCAACATCCAGAGGCTCCTTGATTCACACCTTGAGTTGCTTCACCAAAGTACGAAAGCACAAAGCGCAGCTTTAATTATTACCCTAAGCTCCTGCAATTGTCCATAGGCTTTCACTGAAGTTCTGTTAAGGTACTGCATGCTGTCAAAAGCTCATTATGTGCCTGGCTTCTCTGGAGGGTGAACAACGTGATGGGGACATACAATCTTCATGTAAGATCTCTCACCTGCAGGCTCAAAGTGTCATTGCCACTATGACTGGTGGAAGACATCTGACGGCATTCCCCCAGGACCATGGAGGCTACAAAGACCACGACCGTGGTAGTCAACGACACCAGCAGGCTCTCCAAGACTCTGCAAGTACATAATAGAAACCATACACTGAAGCCACACTTAGCCTTGTAACCCATTCCCAGCTCTGCACACAACTAATAAGGTTGCAAGAAACAGCAGTCACTACAGCGTAACATCAAAAGCAGGGGACTCTGCAAGTCAAGCTGAAGGCCTAAAAAAGAGCTATTTCTATCCACAGAACATGTAACAGTCATGTATAAAAAGCCACACGGAAGGGTTCAGCAATGAAGCTGTTGACATGGAAACAACGATCTGTAGATCCTTACAGGGTAAAAGTCTAGACAGGACTGGACAGGTTGATGCATAGTCTCTTGTATCTCTTTTCTAACTACTAAAATACTTTTTTTTTTTTTAAAAAACCTGGGTTTGTTATTTAGGAACTGTCTAGAGTAAACAAACACCCATTACGTGGCAATTCCCTCTCTAAATAGCACAGATATTAGCTCATTTGTGGATTTAATTAACCAAGATAATTAAAAAAAAAAGAGTGGGATCAGCTATTCCTTCCACATCTATTTGGACAAGACAAAAAAATACTGCACGGAGACAAAGCTCTGGCTTGCTCAGCTATAGCCTTTGTTACAAAGGGCTCCCTTCATAGCCCTTATAAGGGGGCTCGCAGCACTCTCTGTACCACAAGAGTAACTACAAAAATGCAAAGGCATTGTTACATCTGGTTTCTGGTGTTCACGTTTAATTTCTATGGAGGCTTTGTTTCATGATTTCAAAAATAACAGGTCTGGGATTTCCTCCAACCCCTCTCACTGTGTCTTCTAGACTGATGCTTTTGCTTTGGGACACTGAACACAGATCAGAGACCCTGCACAAACTCAAGTGAGCACAAATACCTGACCAGCTTTGGCTTGGGATGCACGTTCCGCATGCGGTACTTTGCAAGTCTCTTGTTCAGGCAGTTGAAGGTGGCTCCAAGAAGGCCTCCTACAATCCCCATCAGAATGAAGAAGCCCAAGTCCACAGCTGTCCAGAGGTGGCATTTCTTATCAGACTCAGAGCACTACATGCAGAAAAGCACAAAATTAAAATTAAGCATTACAGTAGCTGCCGCAATTTCCTACCAGCACTTCTGTATTCAGGCTTTCAGCAGCTATGACCTAAGAGGAACAATTCTGTCTCAGGCTATCAATGTATTGCAGCTAAATATCAACAGCCCTTCACTGAAACATAAGCATGTATCCGAAAAAAACAGAAAGAAACACTGAACTGATGAGAGACTGGAGGGAAGGGACAACACTAAATCTTACCTTAAACTCCCCAAAGTTCAGCAGCCCAGGGAGCTGGAAAGACCCCCAACTTCCAAACTGAATCCCAGAGCGGAAAAAATTCAGGGTGAAGGTGGCAGCCATGGAACAGAAGAGCTGAGGAAGTAAAAAAGAAAAGGAAGAACTAAGTATTCACAAAATTAAGACTGGCACAGTCAGCTGTTCTTTGAGACTTATGCCTGCGGAATGGAACCTCAAAGCCTTCTCAAGCTTTAGGAAAATAGTTCTACTGAGGTTTAAGGCCCATTCCCTGCTGCAAAAGGGAGCAGGGGTAACATGGACTACTACGGTCATCTGATTTGGTTTCCCACACAAGAAGTTTGGAATTTCACCCAGTAATTCTTGCAGCAAAAGCTCCTTTTCTTTTTTTTTTTTTTCCTCCAAAGATGCTAATTTGCAGTTGCAAATCAATTACAAGACACTAACACAGCTTGTTGAGAGTTGGAATTGAGGTCTTCATTGGCACCAAGAGAGTTGCTATCTTGGCAAATCCCCTCACTACTTTCATCCACACTATGAAAGACTAGACTAACTGTATCTCATTGACAGGGCATTTGGCATAAGAAATACCAAAAGCATCAAGAAATTAAATACATTTTTAAAATACTGTCAAATTCATGAAAGTAGGGACTGGAGGCAAAGCAATCGGCAACCTGAAGGCACAGGTCACTGCTGCAATACAGCTACCCAAGGCAGAGAAAAGCAGAAAGGAATCCAGCACCTGCTTACTCTGTCTGCTCCCAAAGGATCGGACTGCAAAAAGCCCAGGCACAAAAGCCTTTTCTCCCAGGTACACTAAATCTGCTGCCTACAGAGTTGCCCCACGGTTCCAGATAGTACCAGACTCATCTCTGCTCTTGATCCGTAGTAATCCTGGAGCTCTCAGAGCAGGCAACC